TCTTGGATTTACGTCGACTAACTTACGACGTGATCTATGGTATGCGAATTTGGGTTGTAACATACCTCATCAACAATATCAATAACTGAGATTCTTTTGTATGCATGTTGAAATTTCATACTCTTACTCACTCGAAAGGTAACCTCTTCGTCATTATCTCGGAACTTGATCTCATTTCGTTCTGAATCTATGAGTGCTCTTCAGGTAGCAAGGAATGATGTCCCCAAGATGATAGGGATTTCTTTAACAACAGCACAATCAAGGATAACAAAGTTGGCAGGGAGGAGGAACTTCCCCATTTTCACAAGAACATCATCAATAATTCCCACTGGTCTAGGCATTTTCAGCCTCATACTTGTAGGCCTCATACTTGAATGGTCAGCCATTTTCAACCTCATACTTGTAGGCCTAGGCATACCTAACCCCACTTGCTTGTAAATAGAAAGAGCCATTAAGTTGATGCTATCCCTATTATCACAAAGAGCTCATGCAAAATCTCACAACTCGATAGTGCATGGAATGGTGAAGGCTCCCGGGTCCTCCTTCATTTGGACAGTGGTTGTTGCAATGATATAACTAACCCGGTGAGCCACATTCACCACTTCATTCTTGGTGATTTTATTTTTAGTGATCAAGTCTCTCAAGTATATAGCAAAACCCGACATCTGTTGAAATGCTTCCACAAATGGAATGTTCACCAATAATTGCTTGAGAATGTCATAGAACTTCTCGAGTTTGCTATCATCAACCCTCCTAGCAAGTATATGAGGGAAAGGAGGAGGAGGCCTAGGAATTGGTGCTAGAGCTTTTGGTGTCTCTTTTACCTTTTCCTTAACCTCTTCACGGTTCACTTCTTGAACTTTTACTTCCTTTGGGAGTCTTTCAGCTTCAACAGCAATTGGCACCTCAACTTGTGCCTCAACTTCTTATTCAAGATCTTCCACTTCAATCATTTGTTCATTTTCTATTTGAAGTAGTTTCCCACTTCGAGTTGTGATTGCCATATAATGAGAAGTCAGACCATTCCCACTACCTTTTGGGTTTGCTATTGTGTCAATTGGGAGCGTACCCTTCTGCTTCAGATTTTTCTATCTTGATGGATCTCTCATTTGCATTTCTAACTTTTGAATGGATGAGGTGTGAGAACCCACAAGCTCGGTCATGTTCTTCATTGAAGTGTCGGATTTTTCTTGATTTTGCAATACTAGTTCAAGAATGTTTTCCAACTTGGACTCATTTGAAGAACTTTCCTTCCAATGCGGAGAGTTAGAATATTGCCCCTTTGGTGGAACATAGGGGTTTGAACTCCGATTTGAAAAGTTGTTGTTTTTACTCCAATTACCTTGATTTGAACTACCTTGATCATTTCACCACTGTTGATGGCCTTGCCCTTGCGGGTTAGACCTCCGCTAGTTTTGTTGTCCTGAACCTTGGTAGGGTAGTCTTTGTTAACCACCTTGAGAGTTGTTGACATAATTTGCTTCTTTGTAATCCTCATTTGACAAGGGTTGCATATCTTCCATAACATTCACCTTTTTGTTTGGCTTTCAGTAAACATCTTTGTCAACACATTGATGATTGTTGCAAGCTCGGCAATTACTTGATCTCTTTCTTGGTTCTCCTTAATCATGTTGGTCAATGAAGGAGTACCATATGCAATTCCACCCATGGAGTCTTCTAAGTGCCAATCTTGGTTATGTTCTGCCATCTTGTCAAGGATTTGTGTGACCCTTGCAAATTTTTATCCATAAAGGATCCATCAGCTGCATTTTTGGCTATGGATTGATTCATAGGATCCAAGCCCATATAAAACTTCTCCAACAAGATGTTGTCCGAAAAATCATAAAGACCTCACTAGATATATCTTGAATCGATCCCATGCCTTATGTAGATGCTCTCCCAGTAATTACTTTAAGAAGAAAATTTTATCCCAGAGCTCGGACGTCTTGCTTTGCGGGAACCATTTTGATAGGAAAGCTCGGAGAAGTTCGGGCCAAGTATGAATGGAATTAGGCGGTAGATTTTGGATCCATTTTCTTGCCTCTCCAGTTATAGAGTACTTGAACACCCTCAGCCTTAGGGCATTATCTAAAACGTGATTCTGCTTGTTCATTGCACACACACCCAAGAAGTTTCTGAGATGTTATATCGGATCATCATCTGTGGAATTTCGGAAAAATCCCCCTTCCTTGAGCATTAGGATTAGATTTTGTTCTACCTTGAAGGTGGAAGCATCAACTCTTCTTCCAATGGAATTTGTATCCTCAATATACTCATCTATATCCGCAAAAATGTGTTCTTCTTCCAACTCGCCCATGTTTACTTAGTGACACCAAGCAAAGCAAGCAAAGTGTGATGGAATAAAAGAAGACGTAAAGTAAAGCACACACTAATTAGTCATTTCAAAACTGTATTCCCCGCTAGCGGTCGATGTCAAAAATAAATGGTTACACCTAAATAAATGGTGTAAGGCGGTCGGTGTCAAATATAATAATCCAACTATGTTGGGGTCGAATCCCACAGGGAATAGGTGAGAAAAGGTTATGTGAATAGTGTGAAACTTGACTTAAGTAGTAATCCTACTCCGTTAGCTTAAAAGAGAGTATTGTAATTATGAGTTATCGAAGAAACTATTTTGTTATGAGAATGTAATTAATTTGATTAAGGAAACCAAGGTTGTGTCCCCGTCAATGAAATGTAATGCTATCGGTGTTAATATGATATATTCCTAATGGAAGGTCCTTTGATATGCAAATAGTTTCTAAATGACTACCCAATATTTTCCAATAGTGAGGTAGTATTTTCTCTTTATGATTTTCCCCAATATCAAAGAGTTACAATTAAGAACACCCAATTTATGCCAAATAGAACCCACTTATTCCTAAGCGATTCTATTAAACAAGGTTTAAAGCCTTGAGTTTTTGCTATTCAATTCTACCAAACCCTAACCCACTTTTCCAAGTAAAGATAGATTGAAATAGCGTTGGTCAATATTTGCAACAACCAACATTAAATGAAGCATGAGAAATGAATAAATACCAACCAACCATTATATATATATTCAATGGTAAACACCCATTAACATTACACCCATTTAGGGCCCACAACCTTAGTATTTAAAACTAGCTACTCATACTAGAATCCAAGAACAAAGCAATAAATGAAGTCATAAAGCTTACAAAAAAACAAGATTCTTTCTTCAAAAGCTTCCAAAACAATGGTGTATTCAATGCTCTAAAAGTAGCTTCTTTTTCAGACAAGATGTCCCACAAAAACCCTAGTTATTCTATTTATAATGGGCTAATTATCGGGGTCACAATATGGCAAAAATACCCCTGCAGATCACATATGCGACCGCAGAATGGGTCCAGATCACGTTCGCGGTCCGCATAAATGCAAATCCACCGCATAGTTGTGTTACAACCCAAATTCGCGTACCTTAGATCATGCCGTAAGTTAGTCGACGTAAATCCAAGAAGAGATTATCTTTGAGATGATAAGAAGTTAATCCTATTGGTCTTAAACAATACAAGGGTGTATAAGAGTGGTTAACAAGTATTAGAAGTGAAACGAATCAAGGATGTTGTAACCCGTATTTTCGGGTAACACTAGAGGTGATTAATTGTCCCAAGAGGTCTTGTTTTAATGTATTTGATTCATATAATATCCGTATCATAAGTCTTGAAGTCAAGCGAGTTATGAAACAAAGTCGATAAAAGTTGTCGCAACTTACGTTTATAATTTTACTTAAACTTTAGGTCAAATGTTACTACATTTTTCTCCCAATATACTATGAATTATGGGGTTATCTACATATCATATTGAAGATCTATGAGTCTATTTTCTAACGCATTAAACCGTTTGTCGATACGATCTCGGAATAGAGAGATATTTGCGTTTTTGTGAGAGTGCGCCAAGCAGCTCTCTATGGGGCCCACATAGGCGGTTTAAGACATATGGATATATATAAGATACCTCAACCCCGTTTTAAGTCATTATTTTT